AGTGTCTACAAAGCTTTTTCGTCGTTGACATACACCGACAGGTTGTTGGAGGCATCAATGCCACCCATCCGCTCAACATCCACAAAACGAAATATATAATGTTTGAAATTTTTCCCGATTACAACACTTTCTTGCAACGTGGCGTGGAAAATAAATTAAAATAAAAGTTAAATATAAGGTGTCTTCTTCTTCAGTGATGAACCTCCCAAATTACTTTCGTGGGATATTAACGTAATATCTAATGTTCGAAATTTTACGCAATTATAATACTTCCTCAGAGTTAAAATTTCTTCATAATCAGTGATGAATATCCTAAAATAGCTTCATGTGATTTATAGCAGCGATTGATTTTGTAACGAACATTAAACGTAACTAATAAAGAATATTTTTTCAGGCGTAGCTATTGAGATCCAGACTTTCCAGTACATTACCGCTGATGTATCAAAGAGAAAATAAATTTTATGAACCGATTTCGGTACATAAATAAAGCTTATGAAAATTTGATATCTATAATATGAATAATTTTGTGCCAGTGTATTGAACAACATCTGAGTACAGAAGCAAATAATCTAAACTAACCGAGTTCCTGCTTGGTTGTAGATTTTTTATGTTTGGACAACTGGCATCTGTAACTTGTAAGTTAGTTCTTAATGTTCTGGTTCCAGTTCTGGTGAACCAACCTGTAACTGTTGATCTGGCAACGTAGCTTCTACGTCTGAAAAATCGTCTTAAGTGCGCGATATAATGCTCGATAATTGTGTCACTTCATGAGATATCGCAAAGCGCCATTTATCGCACCAGAATTGTGGATCGAGCATCGCTGCTATTGGTTGTTTAATCTATTTAATCCAATCTAATCTGTTTAACTTGCTATGCACCCCAACTATTGTCAAGGAAGGAAGATTTGGCATTGCGATTTCACCACAACTTTCTATTCAACCTGTTCCTCTGTTTAAATCTACCGTTTTGGTACAAGCATGTCACTGAACTTTCTGATAACCGTAAAATGGTAGTTAACCTGCAATTAAAAAACCAGATGTTAGAAACTTTCCCGATTCAGAGTATTCGTGGAGATGGAAGATATCGAATTTCTTGAAGGTAGTTTCCACTTTTCCTTGACCTCACTTGATATACAAATAGGATTTGAAAATAAATCGCACATTCCCAAATTTTCTCCTTTACCAGGTGGCATAATAATTGAAATTTCAATTTGATGTTTTGTTTCTTGTCATAAACTTTATACAGGGTGTTTCACTTTATTGCTGCACAACTTTAAGATTCGATAGAACTTTTAAAATTAATGCATAAAGTCTATATAAACATGGGTCGAAAAATGCGTGGCTTCCGAAATACAGGGCGTTTAAATTTACTTTTTAAAATAGTTTTTTTTTAAATATTTCGAACAGTATTTGATTTATAACAGTGAAAACTGGTATACAAGGGTTTTTTGGTACGACAAAACGAACCATCGACATAGTTTTACTGTAGCCGCTAGAGGGCGCTGTCTACTGTACCTGTAGTGTATTCAAATGACCGAAATTTTTTTCTTAGAGCAATTTTTTGCTTCTTGAATAAAGAAGCTGATTCTTCGCACTTTTCAACATAAAAAACCTCTCTTGTGAATTCTCGTTATAGTTAGCTGCTTTTGAGATATTTCGATTTTTAAGGTTCGATGCATTTTTAATTATTTATGATAAAATAACGTTAAAAAGTCAGTATCCCGATAATTTTTAGAAGGAGACTGTGCCAGCAAATATTTTTGAAATTGAAAGCAGAATAAGGTTAAACGTCAATCAGTTGACAGTTAGTTTTGTTGTCTGTTGAAACCTGAAACGTTTTTTTGCAATTGTGAATGCCCGAAATTTAGTTTCGTTTACCTGTTTTTTTTGTAAGTTTTATAAAAATGCCATTTTTATTCTCCAATCAAGAGTTAGCGGATATTCATTTTGTATATGGCTTTGTAAATGGAAACGCAGCAGAAGCAGCCAGAGAATACGCACGAAGATTTCCAAACAGACGACATCCAACTCGCTCAGTATTTGTAAGAGTGAATCGCCAAATAATTGAAGATGGTTTTGGAAATCTCCAAAGGGATCAAAACATAAATGTTCGTCAGCGCAGATTTACCCGTATGATTCTGCGTGAGTTTGATAGAGATCCGACCACAAGTGTTAGGAGAGTCTGGTGCCTTGGGAATTTCAGCAAGCCATGTTCTTAGAAATGGCCATAGACGTCCTTATCATTTGCAACCTGTGCAAGGACTACAGCCAGGGGACGGAGAACGAAGAATCACATTTTGTCAGTGGATTCTTGATAGAACTGATAATAATAGGGAGTTTTTAAGTAACGTTTTATGGACCGATGAGTCATGCTTCACTAGACGTGGAGTGGTAAATTTTCATAATCAACATATTTGGTCGCATGAAAATCCGCATGCAGTCCGGGAAAGAAATTTTCAGCATGAACTTAGTGTGAACGTGTGGATTGGTATCTACCGTAATCGACTATTTGGACCCTACCTTTTGCCTGCAAGGTTAAATGCTGCGACCTTCTGGCTGAACGAAAATTATCCAGAAAGATGGATCGGCAGTGGAAGACCAGTCGCCTGGCCTCCACGATCCCCTGACCTAAATCCATTAGATTTCTTTGTGTGGGATTTCTAAAAGAAAAAGTGTACCAGACTCCCGTAACCACAAGAGATATGCTAATAGACAGAAGCTGGAATACATGTGATGAAATAAGGCCTTATTTGAATAATGCTATACCACGTTCGATCATTCGTAGATGTGAATTGTGTATTGAACAATTGGATTTACACTTCGAGCAACTACTTTAGATATTGTATGTTTGTCCTAACTATCCAATTTTAGTTGTAAATAATTAATTTAATTTGTTAAAAATAATATTGGAAAATTAAACAAATTAATATTCTGTTTTTTGTGTTTATTTGAAGTTAGGAATTATTGCTGTGTTTAAAAACACAATCTAAACGATCATTTTAATTACTTGTAATGCCCAAATCGAAAATGTAAGAAAAATATTAGTTTCCCATAGATAATTAAAAATGCATCGAACCTTAAAAATCGAAATATCTCAAAAACGGCTAACTATAACGAAAACTCACAGGAGAGCTTTTTTATGTTGAAAAGTGCGAAGAATCAGTTTTTTTATTCAAAAAGCAAAAAATTGCACTAAGAAAAATTTTTCGGTCATTTTAATACACTACAGGTACAGTAGAGAGCGCCCTCTAGTGGCTACAGTAAAATAAACTGAAACACCCTGTATACTTGTGAAGACAATATTGGTTCCTTGCATAGCTGGATTAAGTTACTTATTCTGACTCGGATTTTTAATCGCAAGTTAACTGCAACTTCATTTTTAACTGGAAGCTTTTAACCAGACGACCAAGTATTCAGCAACTTCATCATGGCTGCTCAACAGAAATACTCGGGGGTTATTGAATAGGGTAAATTGATTGAAAGTGTTCTCCGGGACTAATTCGTCAATTATTAAAAATATTAAGTAAGCGATGTCAATTTACTCTTCAACCTGAATAACTATATGTCCCGTAACAGTTAAAGTAGATTCACAGTATTCAGTTGCCTTTTATTCAAAATTAAAAACGTTAATTTCGAAATAACTATACTGCCTTGTATCCCTGAAACGACGTCAGAGGGGCAGGTCGTCAAGGAATAAATAGCATCTGAATGGAAACACCTGTATAAAGAAATTCAACTTCCGCCCCAAATTCCTGGAAGCACCTGTACGTATCCGATCCTCCGTTCCTTCCTCGTCAAATTGAAACTTTGACCCGGCTTAATAAAGGGCTCCAGCAGCAATACATAAATGAGTAATGGCCTCCTCGAAAACTTCATTCACGACTGGAAGTTTTTCCATTATTGTGGCTGTAATGGGTATAAATAAGTGGAAGCTGTAATGGAAAGCAGTGAATTAATACCATGAAATCGTTTTGTTCCTGAAACAATAAAGATTGAAATGTTTAGAGGTAGCGCCCGCCGGGAGAAAATATAAAGTTGAAAGTTCTTTGAACGTAACGGATCCATGAAAAAGGTATACAATTTAATTGTTTTGTAATGGCCTGAACGTTGTACGATATCTTTATTTTTGTTACATTGAACCCGCTTAGATCCGCCGATCGCTGTCTCTGTCTTTCTCTCACTCTTAGTATGTCTGTGAATGTTTTCTGAAACCTTTTTGAAGCTGTACAGATTGCAACTCTTAATTAAAGTACTTTGTAGACATCAATCTGACTAGCTCCACAGTCTGAGATCAAATGATCTCCAATTGTGCATTACAGAACAGGATTAAAAGTGGATTTAAGATAAACTAACCTAAAAATACTCTAAGAGCTCTTCTCTAGAGCAAGATTTTAGCTTCATTTTCAATACGCTTTATGTATGTAATATTTGAGCATACTTTTCACCAAGTTCCAGAAGTTTCATTAATTTGAAACTTCGCACACGGATCAAGGACCGCTGAAAATGCAATAATTTGATAACAGTTTCCCTTTATCCTTATTAGCACTACCAGGATTGATAAATTCTTCTTCTGTTGATTCGGGTCTCGGCACAGCACAGCGGAAGCAGAAACTTGTTCAAGGTAGTGAATTCTCATCTTGTTCATTCCTTATACATGCGTAGGTATTAATGAGTCTAATACATTCGAATTACTGTTTATAATACGAGGGATGTCTTTTAAGCTTTGCATATAGAACATAGTAGGCCGCGTGGATCGAACGACAGAACCTAATCTTAACCTCACTCTTTAGTAAACTTAAATTCAAAGTTTCACAACAATACGTGCAATGTTCTCACTACAGTGAATTTTTAACCCTTTCAGGACCGACGCGTCCACGAAAAAACATGCCTGCTTCACCAGAATTTTTGGATGGTCATATGACCCGGTGACGGCTATATCCGACGAAATCATAAAACAGTATAATTCTTTTTTTATTCTATTAAAGCATACTTAGAAACACAAACAGCAGTAAATAGAACTAAAGAAGGTCAATCAAAACTAAAATTGAAGCCCTAGAACTAATAAAAAACAAAAATAAGAGCACATCGTATCAAAAAAACTCGAAAGACATTTTACTTCAGAAGTGATTTTCTTCATGATATATTTTGAAGCATGGAGCTGGACACAACCCAACATCGCATTCCCTACACATATATTTGGTTTCTTTTCTTTTCGTAGGTTTTTGTTTGCTGTGGGAACATACATAGCATCTCCTGTAGGCCGATTTGCTGCCTTCCTTGACTGTAACCAGATCGGGAAAATGTCTTTGTGTGAATCTTTTATTTCCAAGATCCAGGTGAACAGATCTCGAAGCTGTTTTTTGAAACCTGCAAAAATCGAAATATAGAACTATTTCTAGACAAAAAGAAATATATATATAGGTACCTTTCCAACAACTGCCTAATCACTGCAAATACGTGGCATGAGCATTCAATAAGCATATATCCATGGTATGAAAAAATAGTTTTTTATACCATTTCATGCTTTTGCGCGTTGAATCAATGCTGCTGATCATCATATCACTTCGGTCGACAGCTCCCATTTGCTTGTTATATTCCAAGACACATAATGGCTTCTGAAGGTTTTCATTTGTGACCCTATCCTTCCTTGGAAGACTGACCATTTTATTCTCATGTAGTGTAGTCAGCATATTGACATCTCGCCGATCTTTCCATTTAACCACCAACATGTTTTCACTGCTTCTCCAATCACATTCACCCCTCTTAAGTTTTTTGTCTAAAATTGGCATTTCTTTCCTATTTTGTTTCACGGTCCCACATGAATTGGTTTTATTTTCAATTAGAAATGTTGACAAAGTTGGACTGGTATAAAAGTTGTCAGTAAAAAGAGAATGACCCTTGTTCATGTATGGTTGTAATAGATTACTGACAATTTCACCTGTAGCACCCAATCCACGAGTATCTTCTTGTGTGCCTTTGCCTACGTACACTATAAAATCCAAGACGATGCAAGTCTCACAATCACACAAGACATACAGTTTGATTCCGAACCTATGTCTTTTTGTTTTGATGTATTGACGAAAACTGAGGCGACCTTTGAAAAGGACCATACTTTCGTCAATAACCAAATGTTCGAAAGGATAAAACTGGGATTTGAAATCCTCTTTTAGAACGGTCAAAATATTTTCAAATTTCCCCAATCGATTGTGAGGCTTTACCTCCTCATTATTAGCGAAATGAAGATAGCGATGTATCTCGCAATATCTGTTTCTTGACATAGTCTGTCCAAAAACGGGAGTGCTGAGTAAGATATCTTGGGTCCAGTACTCTTTGAATACGTAAAGTTCTGGAATGTCAACGCTTTTCCACTTAGGTGCATCTCTTTGAATGGCATACCTATTTGTTTCGATGGCAATGACGTTCATAATATTTTCAGATAAAAGACTCAAAAAGAAATCTACTTCACTGCTTTGATCATTTAAACTAACATTTCTTAATCCGCTATTAGTACTATCAAATGCAAAAACTTGCGGAATAAACTCTTTGTCCGTCCATTTTATTTCTAACCTAGTACGTTCTCTAATAATATCCATTCTCTCTCGTCCATTGCTGTCTCAGGTTCCAAGACCGGCGTTTGAGATGAATCATGCTTGTTGTCTTCACCTTCAGACACTTGCAAGTAGTCGTCCTCTGAAGATTCACCTTCCGAGCTGGGAATAAACTCGCTTCCACTGTCAGCAAAGGGATCTTCGGGCTCATCCTCATCGGAGCTCATAAGATATTGTGAAAGATTTCGGACTTCCTCCGGGGTCAGTCCACAATAGCCCGCACCTGCATTATCTCTTTTACGCTTATTTCGTCCTTTTCGACCGTCAGATGTACTGGGTTCAGCGTTAACCATCTCGCACAATGAACAGAACAACACAAGAGTCAAACAAAAACTAACTATGTCTACAATGTCCCAATAACAACACGAAACTGTTTCAAACCAGTCATAATAAGTAGATTTGCCTGCTCCACGTGTTCGACGCCGAACTCCCCCGAGCGTCCACCGTCGCCCATGTTCGACAGTGTCGGATTCTCTAGCCATTGGTCTGTGGGGAAATGCAGTGCTGAGCGGATCTAGCCGACACTGGTCCCTGTGAGAAGTTTAATTTTTAAAGGTGTCGTAAATGATCGACATTGGTTTTACCAGTTTGTTTCACCCCTGTCGTTTACAGCCGACACTGGAACTAGGGACAAGTTTCTTCCTGTCGGAACTTGCCGTCAGCGGTACCGAAAGGGTTAAGTGTCACCGAGTCATTAGAAAAATCGAACTCAACCGAGAACGTTTTCACGCCATAATTTATCACAACTTTCAGAGACAATTATCGCAACAAGAATGCCTTGCTGAGTTACTGTCTGTTTTCGGCAACGAAGCGCCACATCAGTCGACAATTTCTCGTTGGTGTGGAGAATTCAAACGTGGAGGGGTAAGTCTTAGCGACGATCCCAGGGTGGGTGCACCAAAAACCGCAGTCACCCAGGAAAACGTCGATGCTGTGCGCAAACTCATCATTGAAGATAGACATGTGACATATCGCAATATTGAGGCGTCCTTCAAGATCACAAAGACCTCAATTCAAAAAATTTTACATGAAGAATTAGGAGTAAGAAAATTAGTTTCTCGTTGGATACCCCCCAGGTCACTGAAGAGCAGAAAGCAGCCAGGGTTAATTGTTGCCAAAAAACGCTTAACCGTTTCAATTCCTGAAACTCAAAAAATGTGTACAGCATTGTTAGTGGTGATGAATCGTGGATTTACTGTTATGAACCAGAAAATAAACGACAGTCGGCTGTTTGGGTGTTCCAAGGTGAAGAAAAGCCAACAAAAGTCATCCGTTCTCGGTGTTTCGAAAAAGATGGTCGCGACATTTGTGTCAAAAGCGGGTCATGTTGCAACAATTCCTCTTAATGAGCAAAGAGCTGTTACTGCGGATTGGTATACCACCATTTGTTTGCCAAAAGTCATCACAGAGCTCCGAAAAATCAACCCCGAAAGAAGAATCATCCTCCATCAAGACAATGCAGCCTCGCACACAGCCCAAAAAACAAGGCAGTATTTAACGGATATAGCCCCGATCTAAGTCCTAACGATTTCTTTACTTTCCCGAAAATTCCAGTCACCAGAAGAAGCAGTTGACGCATTCAAAAATGCCGTTTTGGATCTGCCAGCAAACGACTGGAATAAGTGCTTCGAAAATTGGTTCGAGCACATGAAGATGTGTTAATCATCGTGGAGAATACTTCGTAAAACAATAAAGTCATTTAAACCTACCGTGTTGTTTTATTTCCATATGCAAAACTTAAAAGACATCCCTCGTATTCATATATATATTATATGGTAACCGTGATTCAAAAAAGGCTTCTTATTCCCAACAAAATGATCAGAATATGAATTTCAATTCATTTATTTTACAGAACAAAATTTGGTAAACGATAAAACGATCTAAGAAATTGTAATTATAAGGTCTTAATGATTAAAATACAAATAAGGAATATGAACTAAAATAAAAAATAGTTTATAAAAACTAGAAACTGTTTTTCTTTTATAGCTAACCGATCTAAATATAATTTTTAATTATAAAGAATTTATATTACAGAAGTAGATGGTCGAACAATCGATCTTAATAAATGACCGGAACATAGAATTATAATAAAATTTAGGTTATTAATAGAATAATTCAGTCAAGAGTAAAAAGCGTGGGGTGCATTTTCCCACATTTTCAGAGCTCTCCTCTCATAGATAGTTGCCGACAAAATGATTGTAACATTTAATATATCAAGCACCCGACGCTTTTTACTCTGAAATTTTATTGTAATTTTATTTTGAGGTCATTAATTATGATTGATTAACCATATACTACTGTAATAAAATTATTTTCAACTTTTTAGTCCGGGAAATTATAAAAGCGTGTTATCCTGTTGTCTAATTAACCCTAAAAATTAAATTTGGTTTGAGGTAGCTAACTATCTGAATTACAGCTAAAATATTGCCGTATAAAACTCCCAAGAGCCTTCTGAGATTAGTTCATTTTAAAGCAGTTTTTGATCTTACCTGTTAAGCCAAAATTTGCGAAGCCTTGATTTTCCCATACTATACCTCTATAGTACAGAATTTTCTATTTCCAGGAGACTATACATGATGGTTAAAAGCAATGATACTTCAGTATGACAACGCATAAAATTACCGAACGGATAAATTGGCAAAATGGGTAAATGCTCCTATAATAGGTACAGTTTCAAACCCAGATATTACTGAAACTTTTTTCCCAATATTTGCCGATTTCTTAGTGAGAGTACAGTAAATTGACTCCATTTCAACAACCAAAACCGGTTTATGAACTTTTTTATCCCTAACTTAGGGTTACGAGGTGTTCTTTGAAAAGGACGGTAGTAAAATGACCTGCTGATAGCACAAATTTTATTTCAAGGACACATATTGCAAGACATAAAACAAATAACTATTCGGTGTGATACTGTTCGAAACACATTTTAGGATGTAGTGGAACACTACATTTTCTGGAGCAAAACTGAACTTTTTTATGGTATTCGCCACAACGTTGCTGGTTCTCTTGATAAACTACAAGGTGATTGATATCTAGAACAAGCACTCTTACATGATCACCATTTGTAGAAGCACACTGTATAAATGTCGATATATGGCTCAAGCGATACGCATGGGAATAAGCTGTAGTAATGGGTGGCAGTTCTAATGTTCTTTGTCAGAGCACGGTGGCGACACCTTCTGTCAAATTACTGAAACTCCTTACAGAATCCTTGAATCGCAATGCCCTTATAAAGGACGGTAGTAGTATCTGGGTTAACAGAAGTTGTAGGCACAAGTACGTAAGCAAGTATACAGTAAAATTGAAAGACGGATTATCTGCTTTCGAGCAGCGCAAACCAAAGCAAATTGCCACATCATGAATATGTAAGCCCAAAACCCTTTTTTAGCAGGCTTTCATCACTCTACCACATGGCATCAAATAATCCTTCATCTGTTCACGCTCTGGCGCTAACACCAACCAACGTAATTTAATATCTGCCTCTTTCCAAAAAACCCTTTCCAATAAAAAATGCAAAGCCGACACTAGCGAAAAGAAAATCAAATTTTTCCACTAGGTCACCTGATATCCTTTTATTTTAGCCAGCGGCGCTGGAAACGGTTGGTTGGTTTGTCTTTGTACAGGTTGGACAGTTTACGCCCACGCTGACGCAGAATATACATTGACTGCGTCCTTAGTAATTAATTAGGAAATAAAGGTCATTACCCAGTGAAATGATTCAGAATTTTGTTAACGGATGTTTGACGAATATTTGGGAATGTTGGCAAAAAGAATATTTTCGTTTTCTCTTATTGTTCTTGGAGGAAGAAAATGGCATATTTTGTACTTTTTCGAATATTGAATTGCTTGAATATCAAAGGCTAAGCTTAGAGGAATGTTTATAAGGACACATTTCTTTCAGAGTTACCCAAAAGACCAAGAACGAAAAGAAAACATATTTAGTGTTTGCTTAAAAAAATGTTTAAGCAACTTTTGACGAAATTTTGGGCCTGACAACATTCAGCTCCATGAAAAGGGATCCTTTTTGAATTAGAATTCAGAATCACAATATTTTGCCGGCTTGAAATTACTCGAGGTCTGCCTATAAGGTTGCAGGGAGGTTTGCGCGTCGTCTTCCATCGAAACAACTTTGGGATATGCTCCGTAAGGGTCCCTACGATATCAGGGTAGCAAATTTGAAACACAAAATGCTAGTGAAGCTACAAGAACATGAAGTCTCGGACGTAACTTCGGCAGCCAGGGTATCAAATGAGAGGACGATACATCCTTAAAATTTGACTTTATTACTTTATTTTATGTAGAATTCAATCCACATTTTTTAAGTGTTGTTACATTTCAAAAAATTGTCAATCAAGATAGTAAATTAAATTTTCGATGGGGAATAACTTAATGTCGGAGAGAAAACTATCGTTTAACCTGTTCGATGGCAAGTAGACCTACATTCAGCCAAAATCATCAGCCATCTAGCGGCATGGCTATTAAGGCGGCTCCGCTGTAGTGAGTTTCAAGCCATTTACAAGGGTTCAGCTGCTTCAAAATTGACACTCCATTTTTCAATATTTTTGAATCAAATTGATACAGTTTGTTGAGGAGATAATTGCCCAGGCTGCTATAGGCGCACTTTTTGAAATTTTGTTTTTGCACAAGTTTTATGATGGGTTGAAGTGCGCACGTTTTCTGTTTTTTAAGAAGAACCTAGTGAAAAAAATGAAAAAGTGACTCTATAACACCCTGTGGGGTTTTGTTTTCAGCACTCTGTGAAAATTTCATACAAAAATATCAAAAAATAAAGCGCCAATTTCGAAGCGCGCAAACCTCTACAAATCGTATTTTGGACAAATTTTGTCTGCTGTTTCGTGCTGCCAAACCAAGCGTTGCGGTGCAATGTACGGACTAAGAAAGGACCTATTCAGATAAGCTGGTGGTCCTATTTCATATAATATCGCGTAGATAATTTATTCTGCAAATAGGTACTCATAATCGCGATCGCTGATACTCCTCAATTTTAAAGCCGTTTTACTTCCCACGTCATTGGCGAGGAAGTATTGTAATCGTGAAAAATTTCTCAAATGAGATGTTATGTTTTTTTAAGTCATATGGCATCTACATCACGAAAAACTGTATCACTCATCATCAACTTGGAAATAACCGCTCAGATTTTTATGAAATCTCCACACGCGGTTACTAGTATGCCAAAGCTTTGTAGTTTTAGTCCAGTGGCAACGGTGCTATAGGCAAAAAAGAAAAAGTAACAATTGCTGAAACTCAGATTTTGGCGTTTCAGGGGTTCCTAATCATTGACATAAAAAATTGTA